AGGAAGACCCCAGCAAGATTGAGGCCACCCTGGACTACATAGTGAGACCCTGTCTCAAAAAAACAAAAACAAAAAGGAATAACTAGAAAATACAATGATAACATCTATTTGAAGGCATCTGATCTATTCAAAGTTGTGATAAAATCTGTACTTGAGAGTATAACAGAGATGAGGGATCTTCAAAAATGTGGCCAACTAAACAAAGAAACAATACAGGAAATTGATGAACCCAAAAGTGCTGCAGGGGGACAGAGAAGGGGCGAAATCCACAAACTCCTGGCCAGACTGATTAAAAGAAAAGGACAAGACACAAGTTAGCCATAGTAGAAGTAAAAATAAGATATCATTGCAGATCTAAAAGACATTAAGAGGGGCCAGGGATTTAGCTCAGTGGCACTGCGCCTGCCTTGCAAGCCCAAGGTCCCGAATTCGACCACTGGTACCCACCCGCTCAAAAAACTAAGACTAAAAGACATTGGGAAAACAAGGCCCCTGCGAGTTCAAGGCCAGCCTGGACTACATAGTGAGAACTCATCTCTCTCATTCTACTCATTCATTCATTCATAAATAAATACCATGCACAACCTCTCTTAAACCTTTAAGTCACACACTCTAATCCCAGGGTGTGAGAGGCTGAGGCAAGGCAAGAGGATGACCACAAGCTTAAGGCCAGCCTGAACTACTTAGGGTGTTCAAAGCCAGGCTGAACTACCAACTAAGACACTGTCTCGACAACAGCCAAGAATAACTAACTAAATAAATAAATGCTATTAAGTAGTTTAATTGTTGAGGGAGTAATAAAAAAACTGCCTACACATTCAGCCTAGATGATAATTTCCTTCCTCAATACCTGAGGCCCACTGAATCTATAGAAGCCCATCCCACAGGGCCCACTATTTATTTATATTTTTTCTATTTATGTTTTAAATCAGACTTGTGGTGTATTGAGATTTGAATTTTGTATAATTCTAGAAACAAGGTTGTGTACCTAGCCCTGACATTTGGGTATGAATGAACAGAAACATGGATCATAAGAGCTCTGTGATGAACTTGTGATAAGGAAATAATGCCCAATAAGGCAGGCCTTTGCCTTTGGGGCTCCCTACATGTTTCTGCCATAAAATGTTCTGCTCGAGAAATGTAACTGGTTGTTGCTGTACCATGTTCCTAACCAGTGTGTCAAGGTGCTCTGTTCAAACTATGTAACTGTACCTGCTGCACCTTTCTACATAAAGTTTCAAGAATATTCTGTTAACAAAAGAATATAAGGCTATTTTATCAAGAAATGTATGTCAGAAAACTTGCCAACATAGGTGAAATAGACAAATTCACTCAATGATATAAATTACCAAAAACTGTTCTGTATTCCTTGACCTCATTTTTAATTTTCTACGTTTATTGGTATGTACCTGTAGTACATAATGATTGCGTTCATCATGGGGACTCGGTGAGTGTACAAAACACATCCAAATTCCCCTCACTTCCCCTTCCTCTCCCCTCAGTCCCCCTTCCTTACCTCTTGGCCCCCTTCCAACTTTCGAAAGATCTACCTCCCCTGTTTCCCATTAGGTATCTAAATTACCAAAATTCATCTGAGAGGAAATAGAAAGTTTGAGTAGCTCAATACCAATTAAAGAAATTTAATTCATACTTAACAACTTCTCACAAAGAAATTTAAAGCCCAGATGGCATCGTTGAATAACAATGAATATTTAATGAAATGATACTAATCTTACACACATTTTTTTCAGAAAATAGAGGAGGAAACATCAATTCGTTTGAACAGATACTACTCTGAATGCAAAACCAGATTGTTATTGTAAAAACAGATATAGAATTACAGAGCATTATTCCCTATGATATAAATGTATAGTTTAAGCCAATGTTAGCAAATTTAAATTGACAATATAAAAGAGGGGGTCCTGACCAACAGAGTTTATCCTGGGAATGCAAGTCAGTCTATCAATCAGGACCCAAGCAAGAAAGACAAATCATACAGAAATTTGAACAAGGAAAGTTTGATGTAATGAATTATTAATTCTAGTAGAGGAGCAGTTACACAGCTGTAAAGATACTGCTAGAGAATATACTAGCTCTGAGGAAAGTACCCAACTATGGATAAACTTAGAAGGTTCTCTCTTCACAGCTGAGTTAGACCAAACTGGAAAAAATATGAGGGTGGCACATGGGGTGGTCAAAAGCTCAGAGTTACACAGGTGAGAATTTGTCCACATTTGCCAGGAAAGCAAGAAACATGCTTCTGAAATTCAGGTGAGCCAAAATCAATAGGTAGGCACAGAGAAGAGTCAAGCACCAGGAATCCAGTCACTCTCACAGCAGCACAAGGTCTTGGGCACCAAGTGTCTCCATAGGAGGATCTGCTGAATGCCTCTTCTGGGCCAGAGCAGGGCAGAGAAGAGAGCAAACATATCCTTCACAAGTGAAATAAAGACATTTCCAGGTTAAGGAAATTCATTGCCACAAGACCTATACTACAGAAACATTAAAAAGAATTCTCCAGGAAAAAGAACGGTGATCCCAGGCAGAAATACAGAATGTAGAAAGGAATTATGTATAAGTAAGGTAAGGCAAGACTATCGTATATGCAAAAAATGCTAGAATTACCATTAGACTTATGTAAAATCTAAATGCATGACAACATAAACATCAAAGGTAAATGGAGTTTATATGTTCCTATCACCATGTGATAAGTACTGAAGAATATTAGACACCAACCAATAAATAAAAAATGAATGTAGTAATCTCCAATTTAACCACTAACGGAATAGTTTAAAAGTATGCAAACATCAGATTAGTATAATTAAAAATATTATATTAATCCTAAAGTACATAATAGAGACCATAAAAGGACTGACATATAAATTGAAATAAATCCAAATATTAAACACAACTAATTAAATACTCCAATGTAAAAACCTGATATTTTTATTGTGAAAATAAAATAAAAATCCAACTATTAGTTGCTTTTAAAATACATGTTTTAAATATTGGCATAGAAGATTTCAAAGATGTATTTCATATATATCATGTAAACAAAACTGAAAATAAAACTGGTAAGACTAGCCAGCTGTGACAGCACATGCCTGTAATCCCAGCACTTAGGAGGCTGAGGCAGGAGGATCTTCAAGTTTTTCTGCCAGCCTAGGCTATATAGTGAGTTCAAACCAGCCTGAACTACATAGCAAGACCTTGTTTCAAAAACACAAAAAATTAAATACATAAATAAAACTAGTATAACTATAATATTGAACAAATAAGGTTTTTAGATAAAAACATGTACAGTGATTAAAAGTGATACTAAACTTATGTGTGATATTAAGTAATACTAAGATTGATATTTCATAAACATTGACCTTTGTCAATATATCACAAAATTATAGCTATTCTCAAGTTTCACATACCTAACAATATAGCTCTAAAGTACATAAAGCAAATAAGCACTAACGAAGAAATAGATAAACCCATAACTGGCACATGTCTTTAATTCCAGCCCTCTAGGAAGATGAGGCAGGAGGACTGAAAGTTTGAGCCCAGTATGGGCAACTTAGTGACTCAGTGAGACCTTGTTTCAAAATAAACTATATTTTTAAAGGAGGAGGGGCTAGGGATGTAGCTCAGTAACACACACACACACACACACACACACACACACACACACACAGGAGTTGCTCATGAGTCCTTGGGGAAACACATTAAACCACAATGAAATACATTACACACCCAACAGAATGGCCCAAAGTTATGTTTTGTAAATCTGATAGTACAATCCTAGACCAGTTTCTCCTCTGATAATATCAAATTTATATATGGGAGGTATTCCAGACATGTTCTTAGGAGAACATCTATGGGTGTGAGGAGGACAGAACTGGACAGAGGGAACAATCTGGCTACAACAGAAGCCCAGTTCGTCTCTTAGGTGTGCTTGAGCTCGGATGGGGAAGCTGCTCTCCCGGGCATTGCTGCACCACGGATAACTACGATCATATTACACCTGACACCATCAACACCACCACCTCAGATCAGTCAGCGCAGGCGGCGGCTCCACAAGAAGGAGTACGACTTTGGGTCCAGAATCCTCATCTGCTTGAGGGCAGCTGTCGTGGATTTCGGCAGGAAGCTGCCAGCCACCAGTACTACTGACAACGAAGTGATGGAGGGCTTCAGTCCTCAGCAGGCTCTAGGTGAAGTACCACAGAACATCCGCCAAACATCCAGTCCTGATGCAGACGGGTTGAACGAACTCCCACACCGCTGCTGAGAGCGTAGTGTGGTACAGTCACTTGGGAGAACTGAAGTTTCCAACAAGTGCTGAACACGCGGCTCACCACCCAGCACTCCCCCACACGGCTATATTCCCGACAAATTCAGGTAAGTACCGAAAGAGGTACACGAATGTGTGTGCCAGGACTGTGTAATCATTAGCAACTGGAGACAACCTAAATATCTGTCATGCGTATACAGTACACACTTTATATTTTTGTCCTTCAAGAGCATCGTTCCTTTATCTTTCCTAACAATATTGTGTAATTATTAACTTTATTTTATATTCAAAAATAATAAATGTAAAAATATAACCCTTTCCCAGTATTTTATAATTGTAAACAAGGATAAGTGAATTAGGAAACGGAACCCTGACATACATGGGAAACGTCAAAACCATGGAATAGTAAGCTGAGTAATACCATTTGCAAAACAATTTCTAGATCATAGATCCAGCATTACAAGAGTTTAGAGAAGAGGATACAGTCAGAGACAGCTTTTTGGAGGGGATGGGCTTGTTTAAGGTTTAGTTAAACAGAGATGTAAAGCTGCTATTTGCTTACCTAAAACTCATTTTCCATTTCTTAGTAAGGTAGAACAAACTTTTGCATCCAACCTTATAGCGAGGTATGACCAGATAGCTATGTGTTCTCTGTGAAATTACAACAGGAAGTACTGTATGGAGCCTCCAGGAAATATCGAAAAGGTAGAAGACTCACCCGAGCAATGAAATCACCTTGCCTTTTCTTCCTTCCTGTTTTCTGACATATGGACGTGATGTCTGGTGCTCCATCAGCCACTTTGAACCATGAGGCTGCTCGCTTAGCAGAGTAGAGAGGAAGTTAGGATCCTGGAGTGTTGATAGAGAGCACCGACAAGGGTTGCAACATTTGAATTTGTTTTCCTAAGAAAAAAATAGATCCTTAAGCATTTTGTAATATCCAGATGAGCTAGTGCTAACTTAAACAGAAAGAAGGAATTCCCAACTAGGTATTAAAATGTGATACAGACACAGTGGTGTGTTACCTTCAGTCAGCACGTAAGAGCCAACTGTTAAATTTTCAGAAATATCCGTGAGTTGTTTGTTAAATATTTCCATAAAAAATAAAATTATATAAACACAAACCTAAATAAACTACATACAAAATAAAGGTAATAAAGACACACTACTTCCTGCTTATTTTTGCTACCTTTTGCTATTTTGATGCCCTTGAGGTTATTTGCATTTGTCCTATCTGTATGGTAGAAATATTATATAATGGTGTATTACTGTGTGTCTCTTCCTGACTCCACACTGACTGGCTTCACATTGTCACCTGGGAGCAATTCATCGTGGAATTTGGGAAAGACTGGATATCAGGGTTTTAGTTTTGCTTTGTTTCCCAGAGAGCGTGTTGGTAAACATTTACCAAGCACTGCTGTGTGAAGTCAGTGCTAATCCTTGTGGGGTGCTTTCGTAATAGCAACATACTGGAAACAAAGCAAATGTCCATCAGCAGGGAGATATTCAGACCATGAATATTCTGCAGCAGTTCAAAGGAATGAGGAAGAATCCTGTGTGCTAATGTCTACACAGAGGAGTATTTGGCAGGAATGAGAAGAGTTTCTATATTGTGGTGCTGAGTAATCACCAGGGTGTGCTGTTTAACGAACAAAGTGAAGCACCATGGAACACGGTGTGTAAAATGCCACCCTTGTGGAATAAAGGGGAGGGGGATATGAATACACACACACACACACACAAAATATAAGCAAGTACACATTTTCCAAAATAAAGCAACAGAAGAATAAACCAAACACTAACAGATACTTCACTGATTATCAGTTACCCTCACAGGGAACGAAGTAAAGGAAGAAAAGAGATGGAGATTAAAGGGAAACTTCTCTGGTGAGGCTGTTCTATAGTTTTCACAGAGCCATGTAAATGTTGTACATTATTTTTAAAATTTTAAAAAGCAATTTCTGAAATCTGAAAACAAATAAAACAATATGACCCTAACTGTAAGTCAAACGGAAGGAATAATCACTTAGGGAAAAGTACTATGTCAAGTAATTTTTAAAGACAATAATTTAATCACGTATCTCTAATGGTGTAGGTCTTGGAGCCATAAGAAGCACACACACAAAAAAATGATAAGCTGTATTCAGTGATTCCATTATTAGAAATAATATGGTCTTGTTTTTTAAAATTTTTATGTGTATGTTACAGGAAATAGGAACTTGGATTAATGTCTTTTAAGAGCCAGGATTTTCAAAATAAAGGAATATAAGAATATTTTACAACTCCATGAAAAACCATGTAGTCTTAAATCTGAATCACTTCATCTTCCATTAGAATGGATGTTATTTTGTAAAGTAGAGTTTAAAAAGCAGAAAATAATAAATTTTTCAAGAGTGTAGAGAAATTGGACTTTTTGTGTATTACTGCTAAGAACATAAAATGGTGCAGCCACTGTAGAAAACAGTAGGGCAGTTTCTACAAAAAACTAAACAGAACTACCATGTGCTCCAGTAATTACACTTCTGGGTGTATAACCCAAGGAATTTAAAGCAGCGACTGACACAGATATTTGTATACTTATGTTCATAGCATCATTATTCACAGCAGCCAAAAGGTAGAAGGAACTTAAGTGTGTCGACCAGAGGATAAATAAAGAAAATCATACACACAGAAGAACATTATTCAGCCTTAAAAAGGAAGGAAATTCTGACACATGCTTGAACATTCATGACATCATACTAAGTGAATTAAACCTTTCATAAAAGGACAAATAGAAACAAAGTAAAACTGGGGTTACTGGATTAGGGGCATGAGGGGGGAGAAGAGAGAGGTAGTATAAATGGGTACAGAGTTTCAATTTGAGAAGATAAAAACGTCCTGGGTATGGGTGGTGTTGACATTACAGAACAATGTGAATGTACTATTACTACTAAATTTATCATTGAAAGTGGTTATGTATATTATACACAATAAAGACTGAATTAAAAATAATGAAGTGTTTTTAAAGGGGGAGGAGAGGAGGGGTGAAGGGAGGGCAGGGACGAGGGGGAAAAATGAGAACCAAGACCTGGCATGTAAAGGTACAAGATCCCAGTAATGAATGTAACTGTACTATATACCTAAAATGTACCAATAACATCAATGAGGAAAAAAATCAAAATAAATAAATTAATTAATTAAAAAATAATGATAGGAAATTTATTTGTATTTTACTTCGCATAATAAAATGCTTATTTCTCAACCCTGCCCATGGAAAAGACCTAGAAATAATGACAACCTCATAGCAATGAGCCCCTATCACCAAGATTGTAATTAAATATAATTCCCTGCAAAAGAACCCTGCATTCTTTGACAAATGGCCAATTCCAGTCCCAGGGCAAGAAATATGCAAAATGGCTTTTGAAATATCTCACTGGGCCAGAAAATAAGAATACTACTAAGATAAAGGTGTGTTGAAAAGACAGAAGACAAAATGAAAGGACTCCTATTGGCCAAAGATGGACTGGAATATAGAAATCCATCCAACACATACAAAATCCATGTGTTTATAATACATTAAAGAAAAGAACCTCAGCAGTTCCCACTGGAATTTGCTAAGGCAACTTCTGAATTCACATTGAGAAAGCAGCAAAAGAAAAGAATTAAGGACTTATCTTCTTTGCTCTACACAAATTCTATTGCCAACCAGTTGATTCCAGCAAATGAATCCAGAAGAAATGATAGGATGAGAATGAATTAGCCATTAAAATGGCGCACACCTGTAGTCTGAGCACTCAGGAGGCTGAGGCAGGAGGATCAATACGAATTCGAGGCCAGGCTGAGCTACACAGTGAGTTCAAGGCCAACATCAATGACACAGCAAGATCCTGTTTCAAAATAAAACCACCTCCCACCAAAAATAGAACAAGTTAAATAAATGATCTTAAACAACTACTACCAACAGATGTTAAAACCATATGTGAAAGATCAATAGTGAATATGTCATACATGAATCAAGCTGACAGATAAGAAAGAATCCACTTGTTCAATCATAGCATTACCAGACAGCAACCCTCTAGTTCTGAGTACCAGCGAATAGGAAACAGTGAGGATAGAGGAACAAATTAATTGCCACCATGAAGAAGCAACCAGCCAAATCCCAGAATGTAGGGAGTTTTTGTAGGCCTCAATCATTAACAAGTAAAGGAGACAAGGAAGGTTAGTTGTAGAATAAAAAAAGTACAAATAAAAAGAAACTTTAAAAATTAACAATCAGAAATAATGTGAGGACTTATCTATGTTCCAATGTCCATTTGGTTATCATCTGTCACTCTGGCTGCAACTTGCCTGTGGCCTTCATAGTTGAAATCTGCAGCTATAAAGTTACTGTATTCTGACCTATCTCTCTGCTTGGTTAGGGGTGTTCAAGACACAGCTTCAACCTTATCCCAGCTGCTGCTGGTAACAAAACTGCAAGTTTCTGCACTGGGCCAACTCATGCAGGATCGCCCAGACTCTAAGGAAGGCCATTTTACACTATTATGGCCACCTGTGGCTCTCCACTCAGCATCCCAGGCACCAGAAACTGGCGCTGACTAGGAAATGAAATTTCAGTGCCTCTCTCTGTTTGACCACCCCGCCCTGCCACACTTGCATTGGATGAGACTGCGCCCCAGGTGTTAAGGGGTATCCTAGGAGGTCACCTCCTAGCTGGGGAGTAGGACACAAGTGACACCCTCTTTTCTCTAATTTATGTACAATCACTTTCTGGATGAAGCCCAGAGAAAAGACTCCCTTTCTTCTTTCCACCATGTCTTTGACCAGAGAGTGGTAAGGTTTTCTTCTCATTTCCCTATGTCTTTTGTTTTGTTTTGTTGTTGTAGTTCAAATTGGCCTTGAACTCACTGTGTAGCCCAGGCTGGCCTTGAATTCACCCTCAAGCCTCCCAAGTGCTGGGATTACAGGCATGCACAACCACGCCCAGCTTTCCCTTATCTCTTACTACCTGCTGTTACAGAAGATGAATGGTTTAGATGGAGGAGAATCTTTTTTATGCTACAGAATTCTATGAGATGGATCTTCCTGGCAGGGCTATTGATATTCTTATAGGACGGTGAAAGACTATGGAACACTCTTTCTCACAACAGTAGTCTTTCTCGCTTCTTAATTCTAAATCTCAGCATAAAGGGAATGTTACCATATTTTAAAAATTATTTTTGTAACAAGTCCTAATTGTCCATGTGTATGAATATCTCAGCCTAGTAGGACAAAGAGCACGTATTCAGAGAGACAAAGGGAAAAAATCATTGATAATTTTCATAGTATTACTCTTAAACATACACAGCAAAGTAGAATTGTAGGATGTATGTTTTATGTTTCCAAGAATACAAGTAATAAATGATTACATCTTCATTATAAAAAAACACCCTGTCCATCATCTTATAACTTATTTTTGCCATTTCAAAACAGAGTCCTGTGTGTATTTACCATTTTCCAATGTAATATAATTTCCCATGTAATTCCAACGCAATCCAATACTCTACTAAAATATGCATTTCATTTCCTGAGTGGTGATCTTTTGTCCAGTGTGTTTATGCACTTAATCTGCACCCAGTCTATTTTACTAGATAGTTGTTTCCAACTGACCTGGGAAAAACAGCCCTTGTACACATCTTTGGGTATTTTGAGGGAATACATGTCTAGAAGTGGAATGCTAAAGAACACAAGCAGATTTGAAAAAGGATGTTAAAAATTGCCTAATTATCCTCAGAAGTCACAGTATTTTAAAGATCTATCAGCAGGGAGATCTTGTGCTCATTTCTCCATATTTTCTCAAGGTATAAAATTTGTAATACTGTAAATTAAATGTTTTTTATGTTTTAAACCTTTTATATTAAAACATCTTTTCCCAGTTGGCAAACATT